AGACCTGTTTTGCAGGCTGAATTGCTTCCAAATGCTTAAAAACTATCCTAAATTAATATCTTTGAGGAAAGATATGAACAGAACCTAAACTAAGGCTATGAACAAGAACAGATCTTGCAAACTAATCTATAAACTATTGCTGAAATTTGGAAAAAACAGTTTGAAAGTTGAAAAACATATGCTCTGGGCAGTGTGTGCAGGGGCAGGCCATCTGGAACTGATTTTTTCTTCTTGTTTTTATTTTCTTCGGTGCTAGGAATCCTCCTCCATGTTTCTTGGCCCTCTCCCACCATGATTGAGTAGTGGGGGTTCCATGTCTGGCAGTTTTCTATTTTTGGTTCAATTTTATATTCAATAAAACCCTAGCGATAACCTCCTCCTAAAAAACCACAATTTCCTACTTTAAATCAACCTCAAACACCAGAAATTATTTTATCTTCTGCCACATGAAATCCAACTTCTTTAAAATTTTGTCTAGGCCTTTAAACTGTTGTTTACACCTAAAATAAACTAATAGGGTAAGGCCACGTGTCAAGGTAAAGCCCAATTATCAAGAAAATTAATAGGCTCGATTTGGGCTGGGCTGGCTTACAATTTAACGGCCCAAACGGATTTCCAAGGAGGTTGGATCTTAGGTGGCAGAAGATAAGATTGGATCTGGTAGTTTGAGTTTGATTTAAAATGGGAAATTGAGGATTTTTAGGTAGTTATCTTTAAGGTTGTTGGAGATAAGGCTAAATAAAAATCAGATAACTATTAAATAACTGCTAGACTTGCAATCCCATTACCAAATCATGGAGGAACAGTGCCGAAAATCGAGGAACAGTACCGAAGATCATGGAGGAAGTTACTAGCACCGAAGAGAACAAAAACAGGGAGAAGAGAACAGTTAGAGGCCTGCCCAACACACACACGGACTGCCCAGAGCATGTTTTTCAGCTTTCAGACTGCATTTTCCAGATTTCAGCAATAGTTTCAAGATTTTCCAGATTTTCCAGATTAGTTCATAGCCTTAGCTTAGGTTTGTTCATCTTTGTTCATATTTTCTCCTGCAAATTCCAATTTAGATTAGTTTTTAAGCATTTGGAAGCAACTTAGCCTTCAAAACAGGTCTGCCCTTTTGATTCGATTAGTTCTTCTTCCTTTTATGGATTTAGTTATGTTATTCGTTCATGTAAATAGGATGAACAGTTTCTACCTTTGTTCTTTTGTTTCTGCATAATATCCAGACATGCAATTTGTTTCATTTCAATTTCCAGATTT